CTAGCTGCCTTCCCTCTAGTCTTACACTGCTAAATTAGGGACGGCTAGCGCAGATAACCCTCGTGTAGCTTTGCGCGAAATTCCAAAAACAAACAAACAAACATTACTTGTTACCAGGGTCACGTGACTTCCGCTGTTGTAACATTATGAACTTAAATGTTCGAGATTCAGTTCTAGCTATAATCGAGCCACCACTAGATGGCTACAAAAAACCTTTAAGAAAATTAAAATTTGTTTACCAACTAGACCACCGTGACCCTTTGGGTGAACCACTATTCAGAGGTTATGAAGAATTCAAGCTAATTTCAATATTGCACCGAAAGGAAGGTTTATTTTGAGATAATTTAATTAAATATTTCAATCCATTCGTGTTATTCATAATTCAAGAAAATATATTTGATTGTTGATCTGGAGTAAAAGGAAAAACCATTTCATTTTTCAAAAAGTGAAGTAAGAAGTTTCGTAAATAATGGTAGTGTGAATGATTTTTTGACAGACAAAATAAGCAAACAAACAACCTCAGAGTTTTAGTAGTATATATATATAGGTTCTTCAAGATCTTGTTTTTGTCATCTTACGTCTTTTAATGAAGATGGGAACACTGACAGGGAAATAATGTAATAGTCAATGCTCGGCCAGAGGTTTTCGTTTATAAAATTTTGTTGTTGTTCTCGACTTGATTTTTATTTTATTACCTTGTTTCCATAGTTACTATTTGCAAATAGTCAATAATATTGTATGTCCCTTTAAAAGTGACCCGAAAACGGGGCTAGCTCAGTAACCCGTGGCCCGATTTTAACGAAACTTGTTTTATTTTATTTCTATTTTTATTTCATTACAAATATGGCGGTAGTGTGCGCAGTTTTTGCTGTACTTAATTACAAACAAGCACACACACACACAAATAATTTCAGAGTTTTAGTAGTATATAGATAACAAATCAAATATGCTAATCATGCTCTAAGTAAGTGTTACGATGTAGCAGTTTATTGCGAGGAGGATCAATAAGAAAAGTTTTTCTGAATAATTCCTTGAAAAATCATGTTCACCAGTTAATCTATGCTTGCAAGTATCATGGAAAATCATATGAATTTATCATGTAAGTTTGTCTTGTATAAAGATAAAGTAGGCATTAACAAAAAATGACTTACCTTGTATTCAAGAAAATTAGATCCCAGTTTATGCAATTCATCACTAAGCTGAAAAGCTTCCAAAATAGGATCATTGTTTTTTGCAATAATATAAGTTGGACTGGCCAAGGCACGATAAGCATTTATACGAGAAATGGATTCCTTTAAACTCTCACCATATTTATAGTTGACATAACTGGCATGATCTAAAAATGATAGAATAAAGAAAAGATTTCGCAAACACCAAACAGAAAGAGATCTTAAGACATAAATTTTTATGCTTTAAATGTTGATTTTTCTAATAAAAGTGATAAAGATAATAAAAGATAACAGAATAAACAAAGTTCCATTACATATTAAACAGCTAGTGCTAATGAGCTTTTCCATTTTCTTTGCTTTTATAAAGTGTGTTATTTAATGGACATATTGCTGTCCAGCAATTAAAGTAATATTTTGTTGTATTATGCATATCTGCAAGACAAATTACAAGTGAATATAACTAAATGCCACTATTAGTGCTGCACTATACAGAAAAGATACAGTTCGATCATAAACTATGTTGTTAGGTATCTGCTTGTTTGTTAATTTCCGGTATAAATACTTTCCGAGGAACTTCAGCGATACAAGTCCTTTCATAATTAAAACTAGTTTGTTTTTCTGGTTACAAACTTTGTAATGC